TTTTAATCCAATGACTCTTATAAAACTGTAGATTTGTGTTAGCTATTAGCCATTTACAGTTAGCTTTTGCTTTGCTGGTGGTTCGTCATGTTATTGTGTTTTATGAGGCATTTTTTGAGCTTTTGCAGTTTTTTTATTTTTCTGTTCTATTGTTATTAAACTTCCACTGTGTTTTGTGTGCTGTTCAAGCATTTGTCTATTTGCTAGCATTTCCAAAGTTGCAGTGCACTTGATGTCTCATGGGTCACCTGTTACAAATGGAGACTTTTCACCCAGGAAGCCATTCCCTGGGCATAACAGCAAAGGGAAATCTACACCTTGTTGTGTGTCTTTCCAAAGTGGAAATGCTCCATCAGAAACAAAGATGTTAAGCTAGGTTCCTTGGTAGTTAGAAGAAGCTCATGGTAGCGGAAGATGAGCAAGCAATCGGACTGAGGTTGACTGAACGGCTAAAAGCTGAATTGCTATTCTGGATTTGACCATCATTACCAGGAGAACTGAAGTGAAAAAGTCCTTGTTAATGTAGAATCACTATGGAAACCAGAGTATAGGAGCTTTGAGAACAATATGTGTACTATCCATGGACTATCCTACAGTCGCCTTGAGAGGTCAAATGCAGAGTAAACACCAGTCATTAGGAAATTTGTATTGTGTACTTTCTACATCCTTTGTGTTTTATTCAACTTCTCTTGTGTTTTGTGTGCTTTTGCACTGTTTTTTTCTTTTTTATTTGCTGCTGTTTTCTTAGGCGGCAGAGCATTTGAGCTCTCAGATAATGAAAAAAAGTAAAGCAAAAAGCATAAATACAATAAAATGACAATTTTTTAAATAATTAAATATGACAAATTTTCTTTGCGACACATAACATTGTTGAACATTTAATCATCTTGTTACCAAGAGGATTTTTACGGGTGTGTCTGTTTGTGACAGGCACCCTAATCAGACTTGACACAACAATTATGAAACTGACACTTGCCAGAGACAGATGGACAGGTGCTCTGCAGCTGAGACTGTAGTTGCTGTCTAACCGTGAAATTCTGCCACAGATCTTAGCCAACAGGTCATCAGAGCGGGGCCTCAAGTAACGCTCTCTCATGACAGTCATGTCGACACAGTTGCTGCAGAAACATTGTGTACCTCTGGATGATACTATAAAGCCACACACAGCAGTGCTTCCAGCATAACTGGAACTTTCACAACAGGTGCCAGGCAGCAACTCCGTAAACAAAGTTCTGGACATGATCCCGTACAAAAGGAAAATTAGACTTCAGTCATTTAGATGCATTTTGCCAAGATGCTGCTAAACAGTGTTCACATTCAAAACACATCACACAGGTCTAGTTTGGTATTTTTGGAATTAATGTACATTTCAAATGTCACTAAAGCTACATTACCTTAAGAATATTTAGCAAAGTAGCAAGCAACACTTTATTATTACTTTATTATTATGTCAATTAATCCTTCTTTTATAAAACTCATTCAGTCTCTTATATACAAATTCTTATTTTTTACTTTTTGTAATTTGTCAGAAGTTTCAATAAATACTACACTTTAAAACAAATGTATGGCAATTATTTCATAGTTCAGGCTTTAAAGCAGGGGTGGGCAACTCCAGGCCTCGAGAGCCGGTGTCCCTGCAGGTTTTAGATGTGTCCTTGAACCAACACAGCTGATTTAAATGGCTAAATTAGCTCCTCAACATGTCCTGAAGTTCTCCAGAGGCCTGGTAAAGAACTAATCATGTGATCCAGGTGTGTTGACCCAAGGTGAGATCTAAAACCTGCAGGACACTGGCCCTCGAGACCTGGAATTGCCCACCCCTGCTTTAAAGGGATATTCCAACTTGTTAGACTAAGAAAATAGTCTGTTTTGTGTCAGACTGCTCCCTCCTACTATTGCTTCTCTGTGCAGTGTTCACCTGCTGCATCACTGAGTGTGCTTGGTCCTCTGTATCAGCCCATCATAGCAGCTGTGCCATCAGTTGCAAGCCAATAGCACAAAAACAATAACATTTTTTTTTCCTGAGATGTCCTGCATAACCGTGCTTTCTCACAGCATCACAACTCTGAAGCATGATGCTAAAAAAACATTTAGTGGAGCGAATAATTTCCCCCCCACTGGGGATATAAAAATAATTCAGCAGAGGCAAAGATATCTAGATCAGAGGGCAGGAAAAAGGTTTGATGTTGGTTTGTTTAGTCTCATCTTGAGTGGGCACTCCACTCAGGTTATCCTGTTCGAGGTGTTCAAACAAGCAGCAACTGATGGTGTCTGCAGTTAAGACCTAGCAGAGCATCTCAAGATACTGTGTTACTTTGTCCAGTTATTTTTTAACATCTGAAAATGGGGCACTATGTATCAATTCCAAATGCAATACTGTGGTTAAACCCCTTAAATAAAAGCACAAAGTCTGCACTTCAATCCCATCTTGAATAATATAAAATCATTGAAGATGGGATTGAAGTGCAGAGAAAATGACAAATAATGCACCTAATTGTATTTTAAACTGGGTTGAAAATAATTGTTAATGACACTAATGACACTGTCTGTGTCATTGCTGTTTACTCCCAGATTGTTACGTTTGCTGTTCAAGCCTATAATTTTCAACCAAATAGAATTCGACATATGAATAGCGTATCAGGCACGGGTGCTGACATCCATGCTTTCCTGTGACAGATTGGCTAGTTCACTGAGCCACAGGGAAAAAATAAAACATGCACAATGGCCCCGGAGCTGCAGGTGAATTATTCATCCTATGCATGTGTCACACTTGTCAGTACTTTTACAATATTTTCAGGCCACTTATGCAAAAGCTTGCAAATTAGAACAAAAGAATTAAAAAGGTCCATAGTGACCGATGTCAGGAATCGCATTTCAGAGGTTAAAAAAAATCTGATAATAATCAACCTACCAATATTTATTTAGTCACCTTTTAGATGTAAACACATAACCTGTAAATGACTTATTAAAGCAGGATTCAAGAAGTGTAATGACTATGTGTGGTAGTTTCTTTGTGATAACCAAGAATCAGAGCTGCAAAAATGGAGTAGAAAGCAGTGTGAAAAAGTGTTTCTGATTTCCTGTTTTTTTTTTGTATGTTTGTCACACTAGAATGTTTCAAATGATCAAACAAATTTAAATAACACAAGTAAACATAAAATGCAGTTTCTACAAGTAGATGTTTATTATCAAGGGGGAAAATACATGGCTCTGTGTGAAAAAGTGATTGTCCCTAAACCTAATAACATGTTGGTCCACGCTTAGCTGCAACAACTGCAATCAAGCTTTTGTGATAACTGGCAATGAAGTTTTTTCAACTGTGTGGAGGAATTTTGTCACCCTCATCTTTGCAGAATTGTTGTAATTCATCCACATCGGAGAGTACTGCTGTATTGAGGTCATGCCACAGCATCTCAATCAGATTCAGGTCAGGAGCCTTTGACTAAGCCACTCCAAAGTCTTCATTTTGTTTTTCTTAAGCCATTCAGAGGTGGACTTGCTCGTATGTTTTGGATCATTGTCCTGCTGCAGAACCCAAGTGTGCTTTAGCTTGAGGTCGCGCAAATTCTCCTTCATGTTTTAGTAGATGCAGAATTCATGGTTCCATGTGCCACAGCAAGTCTATCAGGTCCTGAGGCAGTAAAACAAACAAAGAGTATCACACTACCACCATCATATTTTACTGTTAGTATGATGCTCCTTTCCTAAAATGCTGTGGTACTTTCAAACACACCTTACAAAAAGTTCAACTTTAACAGGCTCATCAAAACACAAAATGAGGGAACATATTTTGAATGGTGCTTCATTCCCACTGTAGAGTTCCAGAGACTTGGAGTATCACTACCAAAGTACACTGAACCTGTTCTGGTGGCATGTAGTGCCAGAAGACCTTACAGAGATGCTTCATGTTGGCTTTCCTTTCATTTAAAATGTGCTTGTTTGATTTTACTTTGGATGCCATTCCAGTTTATATGCAGTGAATAAAGATTTATAGAATGGTTAAAATATGCAATTATGTGTCTGGTATTCCTGGTATGAGTATCTATAAAAAAGTTTAGCTACACTTTTATTGTGCACTAAAAAACTATGCTATAACGATCTACAGATTGATTGCAGTGTGTTATAAAACATTTGCAAAATGCATATATAATGTTCCACTCCTTTTATTACAACTATTTCTTATATTGGCAGTCATCCTCTGTTTGTTAGAAATAAATTATCTTTTTTTTCCCTTTTAGAAATAAATGTAAAAAAAAAGAGTTGGGTATAATTTTGACATATATTTATTTATGTGATCAGCCATTTTTAGCTACTTTACAGTCAAACGGGGGATTATTGCATTTTTCTTTATCACTTTGTTGATTCATAAAGGTGAAAAAAGGGTCATTGAGTGTCCAGCTTATGCACTACTACTTTCTAAAAGTGAATGCTGCTTTCAGTGAAATATCATTATTCACTTGACCCAAATGATGCAGCTGGATTAGTTGTGAATTTAATATGGAGGAATGATCTATTTGTACAGAGCATGGCATGTCAAAACCTTTTGAATAAAATGGAGCGATTTGATGGTCGAATTGTATTTTATCAGTGATTAAGGTCGGGTGGGTGTTTCAGGGGGAAAAACGAAACAGAGCGATTCGTATTTGAGAAGGTTTTAATATCGATGATATGCATCACATGTACACAATCACAATTTGAATCTTCTGAGTATTTACACTGGCTTCTTATCTGTACAAATATCTGCTACATATTAAACATGTCCTAAGTGACGGCGTATCAAAACTGCGGGCAAATAAAAGAAATAGTCAGATCAAAAGAACAGAAATATGCGTAACACCGAAACATACTGTTTGAGTTTATTTTACATCTAGTCAAGCTTACGATAGCAAACAGGCCACTACAGACTTTCAGCCAGGGTCTGCGTTGTGGGTCAAAAAACTAGCAACCAGTCCAGAACAAGCAGAAATATTCTGCTAAAAGGAAAAAAAAGATACTTCTGATTACAACATTTTCTCTTCTCTCTCCCATGGAACCGGGTCCTGGTCCTCTTCCACGTGTGTGTTTCTGCGCCCTGTCCAAAAGTGCTCCACATCTGGGAACGTCTTCTCGTTCCCTGGCGAGATCGCGTTGGTGACGGCGTTTGCCCCGACCTCTGCTCCGTTCCCCTCCGTTTTTGGACATTTTTTTCGGGGCACGCGCTTCTTGCTTCTGCAGGTCCCGATGAACCAGATGCTGATCAGTCCCTGACGCACATCGTCGTACATGGTCATCAAGATGACCGGGGACAAAGAGCTGCATGCGTAAAGGAGGACTTGCGCGAACATCATTAAACCCACGGGAGGCCTGGAGTAGCCGAGTCTGATCCAGGTGAATGTCCCCCACTCCGGCAGCAGCATGAGCCCGAGGGCGCCGCTTAGACACAACAAAACCAGGATAACTTTGCTCTGGTGCTGCGGTCTCGGTGCGTGGTTCACCGCAGTGTGCAGCGTTTTAGTGTAGTAGGCCACTGTGTAGATGACTGGCACAACAAAGGTTGCAGTCGGATAAATTTTGTAGAACAAACTCATGAAGTCAGACGCGCACGCTGGCATTTCGGAGACGCAAATATTGTCGCGGCCATACGGCAGCATGGAGGCAAACAGCATCTGAGGGATGGGAAACATCATGGACACTATCCAAATGAACGCCAGGGCTCCGTGAATCCACGTCGGGTTGTGCAGACCCCCCGTGGCATTGCTGGGAATCAAAGTGTGTTTGGCTCTGGTGGTGAATGCGAGGATTAAAGTTTTTGCAACCACACACGAGTGCTGGAACCAGTCTGTGGTGCTGCACACAAAACTCCCCAAGGTCCAGGTCTGCTTATAGTAGGTGATGGCGCGCACGGGCGCGCACAATAACAGGATCACCAAATCCGTAGAAGCTAAAGAAGCGAGAAGTGCTTTTACCTCAGAGCCCTTTCCGTTCCTGAAGTCACGGATGAAAATTAGCAAAACGAGCAAATTCCCAACCGCTCCGGACACGCAGACACCGATCAAGAGGACAGGCATGGCTGTCCGGGTGTTCTCCGATTGAAGAAGTTGAACTCCTCCAATGAAATCAAAAAAGGAGACATTTGATGGTCTTTCAGTATTCATCTCTCCCACCGTGACTTGAAAGTTTGCCTTCGTTAAAGTAACAAAACGTATTCAGCAAACTGTCCCGCAGACGCAAATCCTGGAAGCAGAGCAGTCGGAGGAGCTGTCCGGGGCAACGCAGTGCTGAAGCGCTTCTGACGGGGTCGTGAGCGCATCAGCGAGTGGGTGAGCGGGCAGGCAGGTAGGCTATTTCAAATGCTTCCATTTGGTATCGTCAAGCACTCACGTCACTTTAACAGTGTCGCTCCAGGCTGCAGCCAACCCAAAATGTGAGCGCAGCGGGACATGGTTTACATCCACAACCTCACAAACGTAGTCATGCAAGAGTAATCGTGCCATAATAAGCCTGCGCTACCGTAAACCCACCAATATATGCCTCAAATTTTCGAATTTTGCCAAGTGATATAAATATAGTTCAGTTTTAGGGGAGGGAAACTTGGGTCAACGTGGGGACCAAATTCGCAATTTTAAGACTTTAAAATTATATATAGTGTCACATTTTAATGTTATAGTTTATTTAGTGTAAAGGTAAGATCACAATAATAATAAAAATAAGTAAAAGCAAGATTGTGTGACTTTTGACATCAAATCACATAGTGAAAGCAGGGCTAAGGCATCTGTGAACCGTTGCTCATAGTGACCAAAAATGCCAACTTTAAAATTGTAAATTCTTCTTTTCTTCTTCCACTAATGCATTTATAATGTATGAACCCTATCTATCTATCTATCTATCTATCTATCTATCTATCTATCTATCTATCTATCTATCTATCTATCTATCTATCTATCTATCTATCTATCTATCTA